ACAGAATGGAAAAATATTTTACTTAAAGTTAAGAATTCATTAGAGGGGTTTAATAGCAGATTAGACATGGCAGAAAACCATACACTAGAAGATAAGTTAGGCATTATCTACTTGTGCTAGTTATTCATTTATTGCCTCTCATCTCCCAAATCTACTTTTCTTTTTCCTATTTATGAAACTGAGGCTGGATCTTGTAAACATTTTTTCCTTTGCCAGCTGGTGTTTAGCTTGTCAATGGAAGTGATGAAGGGACAGTACAAGGCATAACAGAAGAGAAGTTTCTTATCCCAGTTCTGGTGCACTTTTCATAGCTGCTCCTAGGGTACAGCTGCTAGAAGCATGTAGGAGACCCCGTCGTGCTCACCCTTCTGCCAGTTTAACTGCACCCTGCCCTTTTCTACTCTCCAGCCTTGGCCAACCATGAAGTGCAGCCATGGGTGATACATGCTGAGTAGAGGTGCTGGGTAGGCCAAGCACCAGTTCTCTCCTGCAGCACCCCAAGTGAAGGTCTCAACCATCCATGGGCTTCAGCCACACCTTCTCCAGCCCAGAAGTCCGAGTCTCAGCATTAATGGTAAGGGGAGATGTGAGGAAGGATCTTCCAAGTTTGTTCCTTCCTGAGTATCCTCCCTTAGCCCTGGGGTAACTATTTCTCTATGCAATTGCTGTTTTTACATTCTTTAGAATTGTCTTCTGCTCCTTTAAACTGTTAATCTCTTATTCAATTTTCCTATTCAAATTACTAATATGGTTTCTGTCTCCTAACCGAAATCCAATTGATAAACTGTTTGTTTCATTTTAATTTTAACTTGTTTGTTCTTTCAAGATGTTCTGTTTTTCCACAATTGTGCTTTTAAAACCTTGTTTATAGCATATGCTTTCAAAATTATATGTGTATGCATATGTATATATATTAATAGTCCTCTCCTTAATTCTCTATACATGTGACCCAATAAGTCCACTCTTCAGCAAATACCCACCAGAAATGCATACATACTAGGATATTCACTGAGGTATGTACCACTCACAGGAGCACTATTCACAACAGCAAGAAACCAAAATAATCCAGATGTTGAACAATAACAATGGATAAAGAAACTGTGACATGTTCAACTTATATATTCAGTTTATATTGCTCAATACTATGAGCAATGAGCATACAACAACGAATTGTATTGTATAGGTGAAGTTCACAAATAAATGTTAAGTGAAAATGTTCAGACAGTTTACTCTTGGATGAAATGGCCACAGTGACGGAAGGGGGCATGAGTAGGGCCTCTGGACACTGGAAGTGTTCTGTTTCTTGATCTAGGAACTGGTCATGTGGTGTATTTACTTTCTGAAATTCGCCACACTATACACTTGTGATTTGTACACTCTTCTATAGTGTATTATTCTTCAATAAATTACACCAAAATATAGAGTACTTATAAACAATCGAATAATGTTTCTAAGTCCCTGGCACCTCCCAAATGTGGTTCTGATAACTGCTCCTCCTACACGACTCCACAGCACCCTGTGCATATACCTCTACCCAGCTCTTATATGTGGTATACATATACCACCCATGGCTGCAATTCTATGAACGTATCTGTCTTGCGTGCTATGTCCAGCTTGAACGCTAAAGATGAAACTTTTATAGGTCTCAAATGAGGCATTAATACTGTAGATACCTGAACAATGACGGAACACTCTATTTTAAAAGATATGATAGGTCATGGGCATGGAAGTGCACTAGGAGCATCACATATCTGGGCGGCATTTTTCAGCAGTGGGCAGTGCACTCCATACCAGCTTCACACATTCTTTGCATCTATTTCAAGTCTACAGGGCATAGGCACCATTTTGCAAGGACACATTCAAAAGATGTCTTTCTGCAGGTAGTACAGTGAAGAGCAGGGGAAGAGTAGTGACAAAGAGTTAGTACAATACTTCTTTCTATGCTAACATTCCACGCTAGCAGAACAGAGTCAAGAATTATACAACGTGGGCAGTAGCAGTAGCTCCCCCAACCTAAAGATGATTGTCTCAAAGACAAACTGCCTTCACCTTCTTCAAACTAGGAACTTAGATATCAGTGGTTCCCAAAATTGCTATGATTACAACATATTCCTCTCATTTAAATTTGTGATCCACCCTTCCTCCTTTATGCAACTTTATTCTAAATTAAAATGAATTATCATTATTTTCAGGGGAAATAATTTCACAATACCCTTTAAGGTAGCTAAATATACCACAGGGTATTGCAAAAACCAGGCTGAAAATCACTGCTTCAGAGCTTCTGTTAACTGATTTTTATGCCCCAAACTTCTCTAAAACTGAATCTTTTTTTTCCATTTTGAAATTATCATTAAAACATATTTTCTAGTTTCATAAACCAACAAGTCCCTTAAGGAATACAGAACCTTAAAACTACCTATTCCCCTAACAAACACGAATATAGAGGTATATATATTTGTATGCCTCTACACATCAGGTGCTCTTCTAGGTACTAGGATACGGCAGTGAACAAAACTAACTCCATTCTCTCATGCAGCTTCCATCCCAGTGAAAAGGTGCAAAATATCATTATGATGCACAGTCATCGGGGAAATGCAACCCAAAACACAGTGAGATACCACTTCATTCCCACTAGGATTACTATAATCGTAAAGACAGATAATAACTAACACCAGTGAGGATGTAGAAAACTGGAACACTTCTACACTGCTGGAGGGCATATAAAATGGTACAGGCACTTTGGAAAACAGTCTGGGAATTCCTCAAAAAACTAAACACAGAGTTAGCATTTAACTCGGCAATTCCACTCCTAGGGATATACTTAAGAGAAATAAAAATTTATCCACACAACAGCAATATTTATAACAGATGAAATATGGAAACAACCAAATATTCACCAACCAACAATGGATAAATAAAAAGTGGTAAATGCATACAATGGAATATTATTTGGCAATAAAAAAACAATTATATATGCTAATTGAAAATAGTCTCTACACAGTGCAATATACAGATCTTATAACGTAGAAACCTATATGTTCGTATTGATTAATGTCACCCCAATAAAGTTAATTTTAAAAAACTTAAAAAAACAGTATGCTCATGGAAAAATCAGTCACACACGTGCGCGTGCACGCACACACACACACACATTGTATAATTCCATTTATAAGAAATGTTCAAAGTAGGCAAATCCATATAGACATAATATAGATTAGTTATTGTCTAGAGGAAACAATAAGAAGTTTCTTTCAGGGGTGATGACAGTGTTCTAAATTTGACTGGTGATAGTTGCACGATTCAATGAATACACTAAAAATCATTCAGTACACACTTTAAATGGGAAAATTGCATGACATATAAATTATGTCTCAAGAAAGATGTTATTTTAAAAAAAGTTAAAGCTGTCCCAAACTGGAAAATGACCCTTCATTGGAAATAATGGGAAGCAAAGGCAAATTGCCTTCTATTGGGAATATTACTATAAAAGATTAATTAGTGATTCCCAATAGCAATTCAAACTAATGCATAAAAATTACTCAGAAAATTTAAATACTCTGGCTTCCTAAAGTATCTAACTCAGTATGCCCCTGGGTTCAGGAGTCTGTATTTTTAACAAGCTCCCTAAATTATCCTAATGTATATCAAAAGTAGGAACCATTAGACCACTAAAATTCTAACTCAGTGATTTATGATTCTCTGAAATCTATGAGAAATCTATCTCTAGATCTGGTATCTATCTAGTATTTTCCATTCATCTAAGAATTTCAAAGTCCTTAATAGCACTCACTTCCCTGAGTTACAATATAAACATTTGAGTTTAGAAAGAGGTGGCTTCATCTGATGAATTAGAACACCACATATTTGTATTAACCTATGTGTATCCTTTATTTAAGCTAATTCACTGTCTTCAGGTAAGCCCTTCAGCTCAATAATGGGATGAATATATAACACACAGCATCTACAGGAGCCATACCTAAACTATAATTTTTTTTAAAGTCAGTCAAAGTAACAGTTTTTTGGTAATTATTAGAAATTTAGCAACAAAACCATCCTACTCCTGCCAACTATATTTTTACAACTGTGTTATAAAATTTAAGATAATGCTTTAAGTTTGAGTTAAAACTTCCTATTTAATACTTCCCCTTTTAAAAAGGGAGGGGGGCAAGATTTTTGAGTAAGTCATCAAAACTCTAAGTTACAAAACGTAAATGAGACCAAAAGTTCCAAAATCCAAAACTAAGAACATAGTTTTGAACAACAACAAAACTTCTTATATTAGAGGTACCAAGGCAAAATCAAACTTGGTAAGGAAAGAGACATTTTGTCTCATCAGACATTTTTAAACAAAATGGCATGTTTTTCTCCACCAGCCATGCAAAGCACACCAAGTTTATATAAACCTTATGTGCTCTGACAAGTCCCACCCGCCTCCCCTTCTCTGCCTTCATTCCAGAGACATCTTTCTTTATCTGCGAAGCTTTGGGTCTTGTGGACTTAATCTGGTCTTTACCCTTCTGATAATAATACTGAGATAATATGGATTCAAGTCCAAATTTAACACTTTCACTTATATTACAAAAAAACAAAAAAGGCGTCTCAGCCAAAAAACACTCCTCTCACAAGCCCTGTGATGAAGTGTTCGTGAACATTAGAAAATTGATTGCAGGCATGAAATATTAAGTTAAAACAAAGAAAATGTTTTCAGCATGTCTCAAGCTGCAGTAAAAATATTTTAACCAATATGCTAGAGACTTTCATTAATTCAAAATAGACTGAAAGTAAAGCTGCAATGAAAAAATAAAAACACCTCTTACTTAAATTCTTTTAGCTCATAAAGAGTTGTACCTACTTCCCAAAACAGGAAAAAAAAAAAAAAAAAAAAAAAGTGGTGGAAAAAGTCCATGTTTGGCAAATTTAACTATTAAGCAATTGTCAAAAGCTAATTTTCTTTTCTTTCAACAAATCAAGAATATCCAAATGAGCCTGCAGTTACTCACATGCAGTGCCGAGGGGTCTGGCAGGAATTCGGCATCTTCTCCAAAGATAAAATCAGGGGGCAGCTCTGGGTATTGGGCATTGAAAATTATATCCCCTGAAATAAAAGAAAATGTCAGACCCTTCTCATGTCCTTGTTAAGGTATAACATTCTGAGGAATGCACCAGAAAAACTTCTGGAAGACGTTTATGTTAGACAAAAAAAAATTTGAAAAACACTTTCCGAATGATTAATTCTCGAAACAAAAGAACTGATATCCTCTTTCAAATTAACATACACAACATGAATCAAAAAAATGTTAATCTCCTAACACACTATAAATATAAATACACAGTAGGAAGGTTAAACAGCCACATATAAAATACATGGAGATATTTTTGTAGGAAATGATACTGTCCAGTCACTGCCTGCTAATTAACAGGCCTTGAACGAGGGCTGATGCTGTAAAGATACAGTGCTTTCCTGCAAGAAATTAAACATATAGACCTTTGGTATAATGGAAAGAACATTTAGCTTGGAGTAAAAAAAGTCATGTTTATAGGCATAAGGTCTCCTAATTATTCAAATCATCTTGGGCAAGTTGTAAGTTCTTTACATTTCAGTTTCCTCATCAGTAGAAGTAGGGTGTAAGATCACTAATTTCACAGATTTGTAATGAGGATAAAGAGACAACCACATGTGAGGATAAAAGATCACCATGTACTAGCATGGTGTCTGGTATATAGCAAGCACTCAATAACTGATAAGGGAATACTAGTGTTGTTATTACTAGTATTATTTTGAAACATGACAAATTACAAAGTCTCCTTAGCAAATTTGTGTTGTAAATTCTCTGTTCCTTTCCTGTCTCCTCCTTTAGCTCCCTTTTTGTTCCCTCCACTCACCCCAAGAATCAGTCCTCACCATCCTGCTTATTCAAATAAGCAGATTAGTATGTCAATAATCTAACACATACTGGGTTCTAGTATATAAGAGTATGTATACTTGTGTACTTGCATACCATATATCCATACACACACATACAGTTACATCAGCCCAATCATTTTTACTGCTTAAACAATATCTTCATGGTGATAACCAAATTTAAACATTCAGACTTCAGTTCTCATTTGAGCCTTTCTACTTCTATGTACTATGTATTTCAATGTCAAACTCCACAAGTCTAAAAACATGCTCCTCACTGTTCCTTTTCTCATCCCTCTGTTCCCCTAGCTGATTTCCCTATCTCTAGGAATGGCACTGCTATTCCTTAACCATCATGCTGAAGCTTTGGTATCATCTTCAACCCTACCTGTACCCTTTATATTCATAGAAAACAAAATGTTTATCATATGGATATGTCCCACAGCTCAGAGCTCTATCCAGGCCCAGGTAACCTAGTCCATACATCCATGCATCCAAGGAACAAACATTTAAACTCTGCTCTAAGCTCTATGCTAGGCATTAAAGACCAAGCAAAGAACTCTGCTCTTGAAGAGTTGCCAGGACTAGAAAAATTCAGTTATGACCATATCCTCTTAAATGATCTACTAATACCATTTTCCCCCCATAATACATACTATCACAAAGTAAATCTTGAAGTACTGCTTTGCCCCAAAACTTCCTAGCTAAAAAAAAAATCTAATTGATTTCTGATGTTAAATGGAGTGAGGGCAAGCTTTTCCAACTGGCATTAAGGCTTCCAAAATACAATGTTCCTATTTATTTTTCCATTCTTCTCTCTATTTACAAGCCAATACCTATTTTTTTCTTCCAGTTGATATGATCCACTCACTGACCTTCAAATACTATGACATGTAGTTGAAATGCTCTTACCCCTTCCTCAGTTCTTACCCATCCTTTACAAGCCCACTTAATTATCTTTTCTTGCATAAAGGGTTCCCTAATAAATTCAGAACTGATCATTGTTCCTTATGAAATTCAGCAACACTATTTGGTTATGACATTCACTTGAGTATTGAAATATAGTCATATTATTTTTATTGTTTCATTAATTTTTAAAATTCATAATAAACACACCCTATAATGTGAGCACTGTGATACACACTGTATCAATACAAAGATGGTTATCCTCAAGGAGCTTACAGTTTGTGAGAGAGACAAGACTTAAACTTGATCTTCCTAAATATCTTAAGCATTCAGAAAACATACATACTCTTATATTTATTTCATGTCTCTGACAAAGCAAAATGCAACACATATAGAATAGATTCAAGAAATGCTCAATATATGAAGGAAATTCTATTCTCTACACTGAATATCTAAAGTAAAGATCTCCACAGTAAAGAATAAAGTATAGAAAAGTTATTACTTCTACCACTTTCTGTAAAGAATAAATTTGAGCAAGAATATATCCTTCAGAAGTTGGGTTTAGAATTACATTATCAAAAGTTAGTACCAAAAGAAAAGTTGGTACAGCCCTAGCTAGTGCTGCTCAATAGTTAGAGCATTAGCCAGCCCACCAAAGGGTCACAGGTTAGCTTCCCAGTCAAGGGCACATACCTGAATTGCAGGTTCAATCCCCAGCCCCAGTCGAGGTGTTTGCAGAAAGCAACCAATTGATGTGTCTGTCTCACATCAATGTTTCTCTTTCTTCTCTCTCTCTCTCTCTCTCTCTCTCTCTCTCTCTCTCTCTCTCTCTCTCTCTCTCTCTCCCCCCTCTCTCTCCCCTCCCCCTCTGTTTTTCCCTCCATCCCTTTCACTCTCTCTAAAATAAAAATCAATGGAAAAAATATATTTGGGCGAGGCTTAACAAAAAATAAAAGTTACTACAATCATTCCCTTCATCCAACCCACAATCTGGTTTTCAACTATATCTATTATGAGTTATAAAATTTCTTCAAATCTGCCAACTATAAAACATTAATCCAAGCCAAAATGAAGAAGAACTAGTGAAAACAATACAAATGCCCTGATTACTCATTCTTATTTAACTACACCCAGCATGAACAATTCCTTAGGAGGACATGTACATTAGGATACTTTTTCAAAATCTCTATGGCTGGCTTACTTTAGTGACCTTTAGAAAAAATTTCATGAAGTTAATAAAGCAAAGGCATTACAGTTTTGGAAAAAGCTAAGCTACAATCCATTGTGCCTCAATGATCAGAAAATAAATACCATGCTAAATTCCAATAGAAGCAATTTTATTATTTTTGTTTCTACTGAAGACACAAAGCTTGATTTTCAAATTCTCAGAGGAGCATTGTCAGTAATACATAGTATTTCCAAACTACCAAAAATTAAAAATCTGATCCAAGGATATTCACTCTTGCCAATTCTATTCAACATTGTACTGCAACTTCTAGCCAGGACATTTAGGCAAGAAAAATTAATAAATGGCATCTAGATTGGATATAAAATAAAAATAAATAAAAAATAAACTATGAAAACCAATAAGTTCAGCAAGGTTTACAAAATACAAGGTAAATTTATAAAATCAATTGTATTTCCATACATTATCAATAAATAATCTAAAATGAAATTAAGAAAGCAATTTTATTTACAACAGCATAAATAAGAATAAAATACTGAGGAATAAACTTAACAAAAGAAATGTAAGATTGTATGCTTAAAAACTACAAACATTGTTGGAAAATGTTAAAGACACCTCAATAATAAAAAGACAACCCCAATTTAAAAATGGACTAAGGGTTTAAATAGCTATTTTAAATAGCAAAGTAGATATTCAAATGGCCAACAAATATATGAAAAAATGCTCAACATCATTAATTATTAATAAAATAAAAATCAAAACCACAATGAGATACCACTTCAAACCTAGTATGATGGCTACAATCAAAATGACATAGAATAATAGATCTTGGTGAGGATGTGAAGAAACTAGAACCCTCATACACTGCTGGTGGGAATCAAAATTGGTACCACCACTTTGGAAAACAGTTTGGCAGTTCTTCAAAATGTTAAACACAGAACCTTATGACCCACCAATTCCACTCCTAGGTATATACTCAAGAAAAATGAAAACATGTTCACACAAAAACTTGCACATGAGTGTTTATAGCAGCACTATTCACACTGACAAAAGTAGGGGGGAAAAACAATGTCCATCAACTGAAGAATGGATAAATAAAATGAGAGATATGTATGTCATTCAGTTATTTTTAAAAAGGTACTGTTATATGCTACAATGTGGATGAACCTTAAAAATGTTATGCTAAGTGAAAACAGTCAAACACAAAAGGCCACATATATTGTACGATTATTGTATAATTTCATTTACATGAAATGTCCAGAATATGTAAATCCATAGAGACAGAAAGTAAATTAATGTTGCCTGGGGCTGGAAAAGGAGGAAATGGGGAGTGGCTGACTGCTAATGAGTCCAAGGTTTCTTTTTATGGAGATAAAAATGTGGTGGAAGAGTGCTGAAGGTTGCACAACTTTGTGAATACATTAAAAATCACTGAATTGTGAACTTCAAAGAAAGAATTGCATGATATGTAAATTAAATTTCAATAAAGCTGTTTTTTTTATGTGATACAAAAATTTGTCCTCCTTTAATCTTAACTTAAATGTACTAGAAAATAATTTATTCAATGGTTCTGAATAAATTTATTTTTTATAAATAAAATCATCTTGAAAGTGCAATTAGAGAATTCTCCCATTTTTAAAACTCTGAAATGAGCTCTTTTTAAAAACAAAGAATATTTTGATAATATTCTCTGAATACTTTAAAGATCTTTCATTTTCAAGAAGTTCCCATATGGATCCTTTTAAACAACAGTACTGGGGAAGTTAATTTCTTTCTTTCTTTTCTTACTTTAGTTGATAATTTTATATTTAAAGCAGCTAAAAGTATTTGACTATACAATACTTTTTAAATAAAAGATGTATTCCAAATTAGCACACCCTCAACTGGGAGGATTTTTTTAGAGAGAAAGAGAGAAGTTACTATAATATGTATAATAAAAACATCATATAGGTATTTTTCAAAAAAAGTAAATTTAAATACCTTTTAGAATCTCACTCTTACATTTCAGAATTTCTCAAACTCTTACCTTCAACCTCTAAGGTCTCCTGAAACACTGTGCTCAACATCTATAGCCTCTTTGCAATAAAATGTGTCATTGTTT